GCCTGCAGGATATCGCCCGACCAGCCGATGGCCAGGCAGATGTCGCCATTGGCGAGCGCGTTGATGTATTCGGACGAGTGGAACTTCTTGACGCTCGGACGAACGCTGAGCAGCAGCTCTTCGGCCTTGGCGATGTCATCAGGCGAATTGGAATCAGGGTCGATACCGAGATAGTTGAGCGCCGCGGGCACGATTTCCTCAGGCGTATCGAGCATGTAGACGCCGCAATCGGCCAGCTTGGCGATGTTGTCCGGGTTGAAAACGATGTCCCAGGAGTTCAACTCCGTGTCACCGAGGCGCTCCTTGACCTTGTCGACATTGATGCCGAGACCGGTGGTGCCCCACATGTAGTTGATGGCGTATTCATTGCCGGGATCGTATTTTTCCAGCCGCGACATGATCGCCGGGTCCATGTTCTCCAGATTGGGCAGCTTGGACTTGTCGAGCTTCTGGAACACGCCGGCCTGGATCTGGCGAGCCAGGAAGGTACCGGTGGGCACGACGATGTCGTAGCCGGTGGAACCGGCCAGCAGTTTGGTTTCCAGCACTTCGTTGGAATCGAAAACGTCATAGACAACCTTGATTCCGGTTTCAGCGGTGAATTCCTCAAGAATGGATTCATCGATGTAATCGGACCAGTTGTAGACGTTGACGACGCGCTCCTGGGCAGTGGCAAGCACGGTCGATGCAGCGAGCATGACGGCTGTGGAGATTAGGCGGATTTTCAGGGTCATTCCTGTTCCTCTCTTGTTGTGTTCCCTCATCCCGGCTTGGGCGATCTGGCGCCGTTCTCAAGCAGAATGCGAATGCGTGTCGCAACGGTCAGGCCGAGCGTGCGGACCTCTAACCCTATGAAGGAATTGCGCAACCCACAAGAGGGGACCGGCGGTATATTGTGCAATTGCGAAAGATGCCGAAAAACCGGGCTGCGGCCTTGTTGCGGACAGACCGGTTACTGGAAATCAAAGGCCGAAATCCCGGTCACCATTTCATCCAATCCCAAGGGCCGGGTGATCGGCGGCTCGGCGCGGGCAAGGCAGCCAGCGCGCTCACACAGACGGCAGGCCGGACCGACCGGAATCGAGACAGGTTGCGGTGCCTTGCCACTGCTCATCGCCAGCGCACCGCCATAGACTATTTCTTCGCGAAAGCCGATGTCGCAGCCAAGCAGAATGGCGGTGCGGCGGGGGCGTTCGGAAAAAGCGCCCTGCGGTCCTTCCAGGGTGCGCGAGATGGTCAGGAACTCGGCTCCGCCGGGCAGCTCGACCGCCTCGACCAGCACCTGTGAGGGCTGCGAGAAAGCCGCATGGATCGACAACTTCGGGCAATTGCCGCCGAAGCGCTGCTGCGGGAAGCCTTGCGCGCCGGCGCGGCGGAAACGATGGCCGGCAACATCGACCTCGAGCATGAAGAACGGCACACCCTCGAGGCTCGGACGGCACAGGGTGGTGAGACGGTTGGCGGCCTGTTCGAAAGACACACCGAAGCGGGATTTGAGAACATCGATGTCATAGCGCGCCCGCTGGGCAGCAGAGTGAAAGCCCTGATAGGGCATCATCAAAGCGTGGGCTGCGTAGCGGGCCAGCTCAAAGCGGGCGATGCGGCGAGCCTCGTCGCTCGACAGCTTGAGCTCGTTGATACCAGCGGCGATGGCGACATTCATGCGGATGAGTGCCGCTTCCATAGCGACTTCGCGCAGCTGGTCAAACGGCGACAGCCGCTCGGACAGGAACAGCCGCTGGGAATGGCGGTCATAGCGGCGGCGCCAGTTGGGCATGGTGGCAACCGGCAGCGAGCGGACGACGACGCCGTGTTCGGTCTTCAACCAGGCCTTGAGTGCCCCCATCAGATCATCGCCGGGCTTGAGCAGCTGGTAAAAGGCTTCGGCTTCCTCCTCCAGAGCGGGATGATGATTGGGACGGGATTCGAGCACTTCGCGGACTTCATCCATCGGCAGCCGCGCACCCGATAAGGCCGGGCTGTGACCGTCACGGGCGAGCATGGCGGACAGATCCGACAGGCGCTCGGCCTGCTCACGATAGGCGCGGTGCAGCTTCAGGATGGCGGCGCTGGCATTGGGCGCGGCCTCGGCGATCTCGATCACTTCCTGATCGCCGGGCAGTTCGCCACTGAGCAAAGGATCGGCGAAGACTTCCTTGAGGCTCGCCAGCGTGGTGGCGCCGCCCTCGCCCTGCAGTTCCTCGACATCGATCTTGTAGACGGCAGACAGCTTGAGGATCAGCTGCACGGTCAGCGGCCGCTGATTGCGCTCGATCAGATTGAGATAGGACGGCGAAATGCCCAGCCCCTCGGCCATCGCCGTCTGGGTCAGGCCCTTGGCGTTGCGGATGCGGCGGATCCGGGGACCGGCGAATATCTTCTGTTCAGCCATTGTGTCGATCTTTACAGTTTTTTACAGACATGGATCGTGTTTTGACACGCCACGACTTTTACAATTGTGACAAATTTACAGACTGAATTAGTCAAAGACAAGACAGATTGACCTCAATTATCGACTGAAAAAGCTGAATTATCTCGCTTAGTGTGCGGCGCAATGTAAATTTGGTCACATCGAAGGCGATCGAAGAGCTGCCAAGCTTGAACCGCCCGACACTTATATTTGCAGACTGGAGACAAGACATGACTGATTTTTACAACCTGGTTCCTTCCGCTCCCGAAGGCCGCTATGACGGCGTTGAGCGGCCTTACAGCCCGGCAGACGTTCAGAAGCTTCGCGGCTCGGTCAGCATCAAGCACAGCCTCGCCGAAATGGGCGCCAACCGGTTGTGGAAGCTGATCCACGAGGAAGACTTCGTCAATTCGCTGGGCGCCATGACCGGCAACCAGGCCATGCAGCAGGTTCGTGCAGGCCTCAAGGCAATCTACCTCTCGGGCTGGCAGGTTGCAGCTGACTCCAACACCGCCTCGTCGATGTATCCCGACCAGTCGCTCTATCCTGCCAATGCAGCGCCAGAGCTTGCCAAGCGCATCAACCGCACACTGCAGCGCGCTGACCAGATCGAAACCGCTGAAGGCAACGGCCTGTCGGTCGACACCTGGTTCGCGCCGATCGTTGCAGATGCCGAAGCCGGCTTCGGCGGCCCGCTCAACGCATTCGAAATCATGAAGGCCTTCATCGAGGCCGGCGTTTCCGGCGTTCACTATGAAGACCAGCTGGCCTCGGAAAAGAAGTGCGGCCATCTCGGCGGCAAGGTTCTGATCCCGACCGCGGCTCATATCCGCAACCTCAACGCAGCACGTCTTGCTGCCGACGTTATGGGTACGCCGACACTTGTGATCGCCCGTACCGATGCGGAAGCTGCCAAGCTCTTGACCTCCGACATTGACGAGCGCGATCGCGAATTTGTCGATTACGACGCAGGCCGCACCATCGAGGGCTTTTACAACATCAAGAACGGCCTCGACTCCTGCATTGCCCGTGCGGTTGCCTATGCACCGCATTGCGACCTGATCTGGTGCGAGACCTCGAAGCCGGATCTCGAGCAGGCGCGCAAGTTTGCCGAGGGCGTGCACAAGCACTATCCGGGCAAGCT